TTAGAGATCCGTGTTTGCTCTGCTCCAAATCTGTATTTTTTTAAGGGACTTTCGAGCTTGATAACTGTTCGTTATCTTCATATTTAGTAATCACCTCCGCTATCGTTCTCATGACGTTTGAAAGTATACTGTACATGTGTATATATAGTAATAGCAATATTAATACGAGTATATTATTTAACTACGAAAACTTCTAAAGATTTTAACCTATTATAACAACAAACTTTTGGGTTCTCAAACCTTAAGCATTATGAATTAGAACTTTCTGGAATTAATACGAAGCATTGATACATGTATATTTTTTTGGATACGTTCACGTTTTTTTTTTTTCGGTTCCTTTTATGTCCCAGTGACTATCTAGAAGACACTCGGAGCGCTGAGGATGACAATGATGTTTTACCAGTGCACGTTTTATGTTCATTTCCTTACTTTCATTTCACTCACAGCTCCTCGTCTAACTAATAGCTATTTTGAAAATCCTAATCCTGCACCAAATGATGTCATGTTCTAAACCATACATAACTACATCTTGTGAAGATGACCTAATAAGTACTGGATAAAATGTGAAAGAATCGAAATCCGTCACAGGCACCTGAAGTCAACAAATTGAATGTTTTAGACAATGTTAATGGAACATTATAAATAGTGAAATTAATTATGAAATACATTACTCTATTCCTTATTTATCGATCTTTTGAGCTATGAAACTATAATTATTTGATAAAAATATACTTAACTGATCACTCAGTTGGAGGAAATCACATTAAACTTACACTGTACCTATAGCATGAAGATTCAACTTGCATTCATATAATACTATAACTAACCATAACTATATATGAATTGCTTTCAAAAAACATAATTTTGATTTTTTTTTTAATACTTCCAAGCGACATATTAAATTTTGTATGTTATATGACACACTCTTCTTTCTTTTGAGTATTTTACATATCCTCAACGAACGTAAAAGAAAGAAAGAAAACAATATTATATTATATTTGCAATTTGAAAATTGGATTCGCAAAGGATTTCTACAATTGTATTTGGCGCACAAATTCCTAAGAAAATAGGGTCATTGGGTTTTCGTACATATTTCTAGCTATTTTCCAAAAATCATCGTCCTATCTGTTGCTATGGGCACATTGTCTAACTGATTTTCTGGTACGACTTTTTTTTTAAATAAAAAAATTACCTTTCCTACATAACAATAAACGACAAATATTCGAGAACATCCAAAATGTACATGTATTAAGTCTAAGAAAAAGGAAAAAGAAAGAAAAAAAACATCGAAACCACCTCAGGACACACCAAGTTGAGTTGAAACGTCTCAACGTCTTACGGTACACTCCGAACCAGGGTCTTTGACAGATACATTGTGTAACATGGCGTACTTTGCCTGGGACGTGAAGGACATGTCATTTTTAACAAGGTTTCCCTCTCAAACTACGATTGTTTTTAAAATTAGAATTACTATGATCTATGTTTACACACAGAAAGATTATGTTGTTTTGTTATTGGGTTCATGACAAATCTTGTAGTACAATCACTTACGTTTAAATTTAGTCGTAGAAAAGTTGTTCTTATACAGGTGTTGAACAGATGGTGAAAAACAAGGAACTCATCTAAAGTTAAATTAATTAACAACATGGCTGAAATTATTGTTATTGGGTGACTCCATTTCATGTTTTTATAAAATATGAAAAAAGAATTTAAAATTTGATTTTAATCCTCGAATGAAATGTTATTTTCTGTACAGACTTGGTATATGAATAATCTTTCAGTTGTTAATTTAAATATGGACATTCAAAGTTTTTTATTTTTAGGACGGATTGGTTTTGAAGTTTGAAAAAAAATCTAGACTTTTGGGATCGACAAAGATACGTATCAGTCTTATTTTATACTCTTTTAAAGTTTTATTTCTTCGTATAGTATTAGTTATTTTTCTCTCAATATAAAGAAAATCCTCGAGTGAGGTTAATTTTAACTTTATCAATATTGATGTCTTTTTCCTGTCGATCTGTGTTTTTGTTTGTGATAGAAAGATAGGTTTAAATTAATTTTTGGATGGACTCTTAATACAAAAAATTGGAATTACCTAATCACTTAGTTCTTACATGTGCATCTCCCTCTCTTTTCTCCTCGCTCTCTCTCAAGCTCTTACCCTTTTCTTCTTTATACTGCGTAGAGTGCTTGCTCCGTGATCGGAAGGTCGTGTGTTCGAATGACGGCCGTGACTGACCTAAGTCGATAAAAATAGGTAGCAACTGTTCTTTTGCCAAGCTTTTAAGTGAAAGTTGCGGGTCCTTCGGATGAGACCTTAAAAACCGAGGCCCCTGGTCACGGTAGGCATTGACACGATAAAGAACACTCCCTGCTCAATGGCCCTAACTGCCGAGTAAAGGTCTAAATTTGAAGCCCTTCGCCGGTATATGGTGACGTCTCTATATGAGTGAAAAATTCTCGAACGGGGTGTAAAACAACTCACAATCAATCAATCTTTACACCGCTCTTTACCTGTATACAAATGTAAAACTGCTATATATACATTTTTGTAATATGTCTTAAACGAAGAAGGTGAGAACAGAAACAACTTAAATCTTATTAGTTAAAGTCTTATTCATTAGAATTACATTATCCGTGATATACTTCCGCATTAATGAAGCATCCAAATAGCTGAAACGTACTTTTTTATATGCAGATATGAATGTAAATTTTCCCAATACAGTAAATAAATTGTAAGATTTAAATGTGTCACATTTTGCAAAGGATCTTAATGAATAATGGGGTGTTACATTGACAAAGGTTAGTCTTAAATTTCAGTCCCATTTCCAACTGATATTGCATGACAATTTATGAATTTATGTCACTTCCATGTTTAAATTTGAAACTGGTTTAATGGTCATAATTACACTGTCATAGGAGATGCCCACTTTGATTCCAATTCAGAAGTGGGGACTTCAAATGATTTTTATTGATCATTTTCTGTATTTAATACACAGTCTATACATAACATTATCAATTATAAAAACTTTAACATTTCTACAGACTGTGGATCTGTGTGTGTGTGTGAGGGTGTGTGTGTGTGTGTGAGAGAGAGAGAGAGAGAGAGGGGGGGGCAAAGAAGTGTGTTGGCATGTTAACACATACTTCTGGCATGTTAACACATACTTCATATATCGATATATGAATAAGATATCATCTAACATGTCTAATACCCATTTCTATAAACAATAAATTCCAGTTAATGTATTCTTTGTCTTCACTTTTATATGATGCATATTTTTGAGTTTCATTCAAAGGTTTAAAGGTGCTTAGACACAGATTTGAAGTTTCTCAATTTTAACTTTATAAAGGATAAAGTTAAAATTTGTGAATTTGCAAGGATGTGTCTATCAAACGCGTCCAGAAATTCGAAGTTTAAATAACTTTCAGATTAAATAAGATTTTTATCAAATTTTCGTATGAAATGCTATAGCAACATATAAGTCATGAAATTATACAGAAAATTTGAGTAAATATTAACTTCAAATCTGTGTCTAAGCACCTTTAATATGTGATATCATAAGTCTTGACATTTTTTTCCTGAACAACTCAAAACAACGCCAAAGCCCACTGGTAAGTTACATGTATAAAAAAATTAAAAAAAAAAAAAAAGGAGGCAGGCTAAGTTATACACTGTAGACATATCCACACGGATAAAAAAAATAGTATGACCCAGAATTCTTTTTGTTGACTAAGGGGGTCTAATGCAGGTTCCATGTGTACATATGACCACAGACACCTGAATTTTTATCAATCAGTCGCCCAATAAGCCAAATATCGAAAAATTCTACCTCCTCTATATATAAATGAATAAAATTTTTTGTATTTCTATATACATGTAGAGGGGGTAGAATTTTTCGAAATTTGGCTTATTGAGCGACTGATTGATAAAAATTCAGGTGCCTGTGGTATCCTTGCACAATCTAAAGTAAAAAGAGGGATAACCCAATTTCAAAATCGAATTACAATCGGGTTCATTATTCACAAAAATATGTTCATAAACAAGACCGACAGTCACAATCGCTGAATCGGACAGGTAAAAATCTCTTTAATAATTAAAAAAAAAAGAGCATTTGCAAATTGCACAGATGTAATTAACCGACTAGCAGACAATTCACTCATGTCTTTTTACTTGTGAGACTCTTATTCTGTACTGTTGCACTGTCATTTAACATTACAAAATTGCACACAGGCTTGTATACTGTTAAAACTAAAATTGCTTCAACTTGACCAAAGTCGTACCCCAGCGTTTAAAATAAAATATTAACAAGCATTCTGAGAGTATTGCATTAGCAATACTAGTCCCCTACCGGCAAGTGTAATCTGGTTCCCGTTAAGAATTGAAAATGCCATAATTCCGTCCAAAATCAATGAAGCGGGACGAAATGCAAACTTGATCTATGACTAATCAAAGTTAAGTCACATACCAAAAATCAGCTCAATATCTGAAAGCGTTAAGAAGAAAATTGCGGAAAACCCCTAAAAATTGAAAAGGCCGTAATTCCGTCAAAATTCAATGAAGCGGAACGAAATGCAAACTTGATCTGTAACTCATCAAGATACACTCACATACCAAAAATCAGCTCAATATCTGCAAGCGTTTAGGAAAAAAGTGCGGAAAACCAAGTGGGACAGACTGACAGACAGACAGAGGGACAGACAGACAGACAGACGGACAGACAGACAGACGGACGGACAGACGGACGGACAGACTCAGAGGAAACCTATAGTCCCCTCCGGTTTCACCGGTAGGGGACTAATAAAAATTCACTATTGTAGTTGTTAAAGTTGTTAGTACATGCATAATGTCTTTTCTTCACACAACTTGCTAGTTTTCAGACAGAGACATTATGGAAATAAGTTCTTAGAGAAAACCAAAGTCAAGGAAAGATAACCCAAAAATAACAAGATATAAATCATGGTAATTTAAATTTTTTAGGCCCAAGTGGAATCAACAGTGAAGAAGCTTAAATTATCTGCCATACAGAATTGACTTCACAAGTATGGAGATATCTGATCAGACTATCAAAGATGCGATGACCTCTCCAAAACATGAAATGATTTTCCAAGACATAACAGTATCAATGGGAGAGAATATCATTCTTGACAATGTATGTGGCATGGCACAGTCAGGAAAACCTCTGGCTATCATGGGACCAAGTGGTGTGTTCATTTGCTGTTTTATTCATACAATAGACTGTTTCACGGTAACTGCGGTACTGCTCTTTTGCAGGGCAAAATGATATAGTTTGTGAAATATGACGTAAAAGTAATTGTTAAATATACGTCATTTGATTATCTGTCAACAAAAACTTCGCAAAACGTTATTATTTTGCCCTGCAGAAAGTTAGTACCGCAGTTACCGTGAAGGGGCTAATTATAAAGTTTGCTTTTATAAAGCTATATATGGCATATCTTAGCTAAAAAATAAAAATACAAGATTGAGTATAGATAAACATGATCTTTGTTATTTACGTTCAAACTAAAATTTCCACCAATCTTGAACTTGAATAACCCCACGTTTCTATAGTTAAATTGACTGAAAACGGTGTCTGATATTTAAATGCGGAGTCAATAAATACATGTAAATCAGTTATTAGTCCCCTACCGGTGAAACCGGAGGGGACTATAGGTTTCCTCTGAGTCTGTCCGTCCGTCTGTCTGTCCGTCTGTCTGTCTGTCCCTCTGTCTGTCTGTCAGTCTGTCCCACTTGGTTTTCCGTACTTTTTTCCTAAACGCTTGCAGATATTGAGCTGATTTTTGGTACGTGAGTGTATCTTGATGAGTTACAGATCAAGTTTCTATTTCTTTTTGCTTCATTGATTTTTGACGGAATTACGGCCTTTTCAATTTTTACGGGTTTTCCGCAATTTTCTTCTAAACGCTTGTAGATATTGAGCTGATTTTTGGTATGTGACTTAACCTTGATTAGTTATAGATCAAGTTTGCATTTCGTCCCGCTTCATTAATTTTTGACGGAATTATGGCATTTTCAATTCTTAACGGGAACCAGATTACACTTGCCGGTAGGGGACTAGTATTGCTAATGCAATACTCTCAGAATGCTTGTTGTTTTAAATTTCTAATATCTATGAAAGCTATTGATTTAAATTGTGTAATTTACAGGAAAGTGCTATCTTTATATAAAGTAATAAAACAAAAAGAAAGATCTTTTAAATTTAAGTTAGTCAAAACTTATCAAAAATAGCCATATATGACTTTAAGATGATTACCATGTTTGAAAAATTCAGATATTAGTTTTCTTTAATTTGATGTTGATTTTTGTAGGTCATAATTAGATGTTCAAGAAAAAAAGCTGAATTGATAATGTATTCATAAATTGCATTATTAAATGTATATATTGTACCTTATAGGTAATGATATGTACATGTAAATTAATAATTATAGCCTAACTTTTCTATAAATCAAGGTGCTGGTAAAACGACCTTACTAAATGCCTTAGCTGGAAGAACTCCTATTACCTCTGGAACGATAACTCTTGATCAACAGCATATTGGAAAACAGCATAGGAGAAAAATTTGCTATGTTCTTCAACAAGATATTTTTTTCCCAAACCTGACCTTAAGAGAGACATTAAAGGTGTGTACACATGTAAATGTATAATTTTGTTGCCTGTATCAATACGCAGCTAGTTTAAGGATGCATGCCCATAGGAAATGTGCCATGAATATTCTGTGAAAACATATACAATATCAAAACAATTTTTCAACAGCATGTTTTTTAAAGAATGGAAATTCTAGATCTGTTGTCTGTTTTTGTACATAACTGTATATAATGGGTTTCTGCTGCATTGAGTCAAAATTGACATCACTTACATCAGCTGTTTGTCACATGAAAGGTTAAAATTAGAAAATATATGTACAGCTACAAGATTGTGAAAGTTCAACAATATACAGATGTTTTTTTGCTCTGAAACTGATTATGGTTTCTTTGAAACAAATTAGTGAAGCAGATATCGTTGAACTTTTGGGATTTTCAAGGGGCCGGCCCTGCCTTTGACCCATCTCTCTAGTACCTCACTGCATAAGACTAGTGTGCCTTCCTACAGCTTTAAACATGTAGAAGATCTATAAATTCTCGATTTAGTTAAAATATAAAATATGGATTAATTTATTTAAGAATGACTGCACCTTTGTCAGCTCTTACTTGTTTCATGTTACTATGGATCAAATTAGTCAGTGATATGTCATCTTAGTCAATACAGCGAGATCAAGTTAGCTATCATTCTCAATTCAGCTAATGTATATGGCAAGATAAGTCGCACGTCAATTTATATTTACGTAATTTATGGAAAATGAAAGTACAGTCAAACCTCGTTATCTCAAACTTGAAGGAACTGAGAAAAAACTTCGAGATATCAGAGGGGGTTGAGATATCGAGGGTAAAATACTTAAGAAATACGTGGTTAGGACTTCCCAATCACTTCGACATATCCACGGTAGTCGAGATATCCATGTTCAAGATACTGAAGTTCAACTGTATTTGAGTGGTGGGGATATAGAACATTTATATTGTATTTTTTTGGTGTGACATCATAATTGTTTTCCCGAACCTTTAAAGGCTTTTGTAAATATGGGAGCTCTTAACCTAGCTACATATTCATTTGATTTTGTTCTTAAAAAGATATCAATATTTTGAATGTATTTTCCTATATGTTTTTAAATTCATATGCATTCTTTGCTATGCTTACATGGTTACCCGATCCTCTCTTTTCTTAATTGTTCTTTTGAAACTTTTTTTGTATAATTTAATTTAATTTTATGCAAGCCATGGCCTAGGCAGATTTTCTGTTTATATTTTTTTTACAACAGTTTGCAGCCATGATCAGAATCTCAGATAAAGTCAGCTATGAAGATAAAATGAATCAGTTGGATGACATTGTGGAAGCTCTCGGTCTAAAGAATTGTCTTAACACAAGTATGGCCACATTAGATTTTCAGTTTATACTGTTATAAATAATCAGCATTCAAAGAGATGAAATCTAAGTAATCTATGTTTATTTCTCATATTTAATTTTTAAACTCATATATCACATGCACTTAAAGGACTTAAAAAAACCAGTAAGCATCAACTGGTGTTTATAACTTAATTTAGGCCTTAAACATACATTCAAAATGAAATTTTGTTATTTGTGCACTCTTTCTGTTTGAACTTTTTATGGGGTACATGCCACTTGAAATTGTTTTCTTTTTAACTATGCCTAAGAAGGACATTATGAAAATGAAACTTAAAGTTAAAACATATTGCTTCTAAGTATCTCAAAATAAAATTATGAAACATGACATAGAATAATGACATATACATGTAATAAATGTTCTGTCAAACCTTACAATGTAGCTGTTATATCAAACTCAATGGGGCCATGCTAGAAAAAAAAAACAGAAAAAAAACACCCATTAACTGAGAATCTAAGGTATTAGGGTTAACATGGTTAATTAAAATACAAAAAAAAAAATGCATGTGGTTGGGACTTCTAACTCACTTCAACATAACCATAGAATTTGATGTTTGACATACTAAAGTTTAACTGTATATGGATAAAATTGTAGTGATTGGGGGAGACATGATGCCGGGACTGTCTGGTGGGGAGAGAAAGAGGGCAAACATTGCCTGTGAAATCTTAACTGATCCCTCCATTATACTGCTAGATGTATGTATTGTATAGAATTATAATACATGTATAGATTATACCATTATACCGGTACTGCTAGATGTACATACTGTATAGAATTATAATAAATGCATGAATAGAGTGTTTGTATCTTAAAAGCTATTTAGACAGGATCAAACAAGTGCTGTCTTCATAAAGATAAGATAACTTTAGAAATGAAGATTCACTGAATTTGTAATATTTTCTGTCTCTCTCTCTCTATCCCTCTCTTTACAATGGCATGTAAATACTGCAGACACTGAAGGAGTTAGTGAGTAATAATGAAATACCTAATGCATGAATTTTAGGAACCCCTTACTGGGCTTGATGCCAGCACTGCATATAACTTGGTGAAAATGCTCCAAACATACTCTGCTTCACATGACAAAGTTGTCATAGCAACAGTGCATCAACCTTCCTCCAAGCTGTTCTTTTCCTTTGATAGCCTCCTTCTGATGTGTGATGGTCAGGTAGGTCAAAGGTCAAGGGGATAAAAATGAATGGAAATTGGAATCATTAATCTTAAAATTTAAAAAACAAAAAATTATTTGATAATTTAATTTGATACATTTAATTTAGAATATAACTGGAACATGTAGAAAAAAAATGGAAATTGAAATTTGTCCAATGTCTTGTAAACTTTCAGTAGAGAAGAATTTTTTGCATTTTATATGGAAGTAAAATAAAACTTTTTATTTTTATTATTTTTTTTACAGAATGCATATTATGGCAGCACAGATAAGATGGTTGACTACTTTGATAACATAGGTGTTGAGATTACAGAAGGATTCAACCCAGCAGATATAATTTGTGAGTATAATGTGTTCTAATTCCAAAAAAAAGTTTGTATTGTGATAGAAGAGGATTTGGTATGGTTTTTTGTTTTATCCATGATAAAATTATTCCTTTAATTTTTGGGTTGCCAACAGAACAGGAAAAGGCAAATGCATGGGGATAACTTTTGTACAGGAAAAAAAAACTTTGGTCAGGAAAAAAAAAAGCATAATTGAAATATTTTATTGAGATTGAAAGTGAACCATTATTTGTAGGGTTGTCAACAAGTAATGGGTTACTTGCACACTCATCGAAAGGTCTGAGTATTGAATACTAAAATCAGTATTGGAATATTTGGAAAAGAATTAAAAAACTATGTAATATTTCCTCATTGTTATCCTTATTTGTTAAGCACATTCTATTTTCAGAGATCATCCTACTGTTATCTCAGTTATCTAGCTTAATGGATTAAGACCTTTTAAACTGTCATGTATTTTGACAACAATTAAAGTCAGAAGCATTTTGGTCAGTGGCGACGAATTAATTTGTTTACATAGAAAGTGACACACCATGATTGGAAATCATTTCAAATTAATTCAGTGAAATGTAATGTTTTTATTAGTTAGTAGCAAATATGAGTCTTTTTTTTTAAAATGAGAAATACTTTAAACAAACCAGCAATTCCAAATTGACCTATAGCTGTAAAATATCAACTCTGTGTAGCTGAATTTACTTATTTGAAGGGTGCAACAAATACATATCAAGGATATATAAGTGACATCGAATTGACACTGGAGAAACAACAGGTTTAAACATTTTACAAAAATATAAATATTCTACAGAACAAAAATTCCTCAGACAAACAATCCGATGATACATGTATATTGCAAGCCATTTACCTGTAGTTGGATTACAGGCCGATGCATATGGTTGAAATATGAACATGGAAATTCATGAATGTATTTACCGGTATGTTGGATTTGACATATTGAATATGATCATTTCAAAATTACAATAAATCAAACTGGAATAATACTCATGTGTATTTACTTTTATTTTTTAGTTCAAATTTATCTTCTTCTTTAAACTCTGTGTCTTATTTAACGTCAGCATTTAGATTCTGAAATATAACATAAAAAAATGTAAAGAACACTATAGGAATGAATTAAGCTATACATATAAAATGAAGATAGATGAGTATATAAATTTGAATAATGACTGAGTACTTGAGTACTTGATTGGAAAGGTAGCAAATTTGATTGAACAGAAAACCCTAACAATTTGTGAATTATATTTCAGTGGAGAAGATGAAAGGCTGTACACATACAAAGACAAAAATACTGGAGGCTGCCAAAAATGTCAGGTAAACAGGAACATATACAATGAATTTTTTTTTTTTGTACAAAACATGTTTTAGATAAATGTTTAAATGCCGAGACATGTATTAGCTACATCAAGATAGTTTCCTTGAAATTGAAAAAAAAAAATTGTAATTTACATCAATTTGAAAAGTAAATTGTAGCATAAAATATTAGTTTTATAAAAGAATAAACGATTAGTAAAACAAGTAGACTAAAATAAGATGAATGTAAGTATAAGGAATTTTATGGTCTTAACAATGTTTTCCCTAGAAGGCTGAATTTTAAAAATTCTGTACCAAATAAATCATAAATGAAACTGATCTGGAATTTTGTCATGAGTTTTTCTTAGTATTTTTTTTATCAAGCATTTCCATAATGTTAAACAAAAGTTATTAAGTCACTTTTCCTATGAACAGAATACAAGAAGACTGGCCTCTACGTAATAAATCTAATTCCATTAAATATGATGACCCCGGGTCTCCCACCATGTTAAAACCTCAAAATAAAGCTAAGGAACCATCTTTCTTGGTCAAGTTTTCCAAGAAGAGAAAGGCTAAGTCTGATGAAGAAGGTAAATCTGATAATTTCCAAGCAATAAGGTTCCTTCAATGTAGATAATCAAGTACATGTACAATAACACATAGAAAATGACCTAAATTCTTTCATTGTAACCATAATTTTTTTTATATCAAGTTACTTAAACATTATTTTCAAGTATTAAGTGGTAAAATATTACGTTGTAAAGATGAATTAAGAGCCATGTTAAATTCATGTATATTAATTGAAATCTTTTTTGTTAATTTTTGTATTAATAAGAATAATATTACATCCTTTCAAAAGTGATTTTCAGGATTTTTCAATTACAGAATGTTTTATTTCTTTTTTAAGAACCAGGAAGTGTTCATGCTAGTTTAATGGATCTGGATGAGATTTCTGCATCATCAGCAAACAATAAAAAAAAATGGCCATCAGGATTTGTGACTCAGTACATCTACCTCACAATACGTTCATTCCAGCTGGCCAAATCTCGTTTTATGGATCCGACCAAAATATTGGAACATGTTGTAATCTGTTTGATTTATGCCCTGATCTGGTTCCAGCTGCCGAGGACAGAAGAAACTGTGAGGGACAGGATGGGGGCTGTAAGTTGTTTTTCTGCAGAATTGAAACATATGCATTTTACTCGTAAATTAGAATACAGTTGAACTTATATTGATATCTCGAATACCATACTGAAAGATATGTCAAAGTGAGTTGGAAGTCCCAAAATGTATTTCAACCTAAGCAATATGTGAATCTGATTTCTGGATATAAAGTTCCTTATCTTGAAATTGATGGGACCAAGTAAAACTTTGACATATCCGAGAGTTTGAGATACTGAGGTAAAAATACATAGAGAAAACATGACTGGACTTTAACTCACTTCCTTATATCCATGATATTTGAGATATTGACGTCCATATACTGATGTTCAACTGTATCTTGAAGATATTTAACCATTCAATCTGGTTTAAAAGTTTGGCTGTAATGTAAGGGTAATAAATATTTTATAGGGTCTATGTAAGTTTTGACAAAGAATAATTTGATCTTTTTGCATTTTTACATTTCAGATATTTTTTATTGCAATTCATTGGGGATTTTTGCCATTATTTGAAGCTGTGTCAACTTGTGAGTTAAAATTTATCATCTGATAAATTCACAGTAAAAAAACTCTTCTACGCATTTTATAGTAAAAAGAATGAATACCAAAATTTTTGCTCATAAATGTAATTAGTATATGGATTATTTCCTATGATAGATTCACAGAAAAAATTATTTTCTGCTCATTTATCATAGGAAACAATTCATATATTTTTGACATTGAAAATTTTGGTTCAAGGTTTGCAATTGGAATAGGAAGAGGAACATTCCTGAGATACACTGCTTAATCAGATTAATTTATGCAATGTTAACATCTTAAATTAAAAGAGGAATGTTCTTCTTATGCATGGTGCAGAGATTTATAGACTGACTATAGAAAGAGAAATGCCCCTCATTGATTTGTTGTTAGATGTTTAAGCTCACCTTGACAAAGTTGAGATTTACCTGGAATGGTGTCTGTGTTTTGATTAAAGTTTTAGGAGCAAGTCTATTTCCTATTTCCACAAGTAAAAGCCCTACCTGGACCAGACTTGCATGGATTGATTGATTGTATGTTGTTTTACGTCCCATTCAAGAATTTTTCACTCATATAGAGACGTCACCATATACCGGTGAAGGGCTTCAAATTTTGACATTTACTCGGCACTCAGGGCCATTGAGCAGTGAGGGATCTTTATTGTGCCAACGCCTGTCGTGACACGGGGCCTAAGTTTTTAAGATCACATCCCAAGGTCCTCCAACTTTCACTTCAAAGTGCCGAGCGCATGGCGAGGGAACAGTTGCTACCTATTTTTTACCGACTTAGATCAGTCTCGGCTGAGATTTGAACTCTGGACCTTCCGATCAGGGAGCAAGCGCTCTACCGACTGAGCTACCATGAATGGTTGACTTGCATGGATGCACACCACCAAGCTTTCTTTGGAAGCTGAATGTGACCTACTTTTTGGATGAGTGACCAGGTGAAAGGTTTTAAAGCAGGTCCATTCTCAAGTAATGATTAGCATTATCATGACTAAACTATACATGTATCTTCCAGGTGAGTAATCAGGTTAAAATTTTTAGAGCATTTCATTTCCCAAGTAACTGTTTACCCTACTGTGTCAGACTAAGCTTTCTTAGATGCTGCATGTTGAAATGCACACTACTAAACATCCTTTGAATGCTGTTATGTTGTTTATAAAACAAGTTAACCAGGTTACCCTGACCAAACTTGCATTGATATTGCATCTGGGATTCACAAAAACCATCATATTGTATAAATTTCTGCATTATGTAGAGATACTGAACATGTAACATTCATCAAGGCAAGTGCCAGTATAATCTTTGATTATCTTTAAGAATTTAAGATTTAAACAGAATTAAAGACAAGGTGGAAATCAACAACTCTCTGCTGATTTCACTTTCATATACAGTATTTTATTGATGAAAGGAATATCTGCAAATGCATCACGTACCCCTTAAAAGTCATATAATAATACTTACAAACTGACTTTTATCTCTTGATTAAATATACTGAAAGTGTTAAACCTAGAAAGTTTCACTAAAATGTTACTCAAAAAAAAAAAATTATTTTTCCCTTTTTGATTTTGACTCTTTTGAAATTGTCAGTACATATAAATATAGCACTTTTATATAGAATTGAAGTACATTTCATTTACATGTAACTACTTGGTGACACCTTTTAATTTGAAATTTACAAACTAGTAAATAAAATGACCTATATTTTTGATTGTCAGTTCCCATGGAGAGAGTGGTCATCAACAAAGAAAGGGCAGCAGGCTGGTATAGGCTGTCTGCTTACTACTGTGCCAAAATGACCAGTGAGCTTCCATTGACCCTGTTACAGCCACTGACCTTTATAGGGGTCAGTTATTGGGCTATTGGCTTGAATGGAATTGAAGCATTTTTTGCCACCATTGGAACAGTTTTCATAGATAGTATTGCAGGACAGGTAAATGAAAATAATATTCTTATAAGTTTAGAATAGTATTATACAAAACAGGATTCAGGCTCTAGAGTAGGGCTCAGTTGGTCTGAGGTCAAGAATTCATAACAGAGTGAAAAAAAGTGGCAGTAAGTGTGTTACAGTGAAAAATCAGAAGATTGTGAGATGAAGGGGTAACATTTTGATAATATTTTAGAAAGAATTGTAGCATGATACTCAGGTGACCTTCAAGGCCTATAGGCCACTTACTTGGATATATGTCATAAGCTCTGACTGGTATACATTTTCTCTCATTTGATTTTGGCTTGTCTAAAAGGTCATAAAAATTTGCACAACTGTTTTTAAAAAGTTTTAAAACTTAATAGAGCAATTAACAAAATGGATGCCATGGCACATCAACTAACAGAGATAAACAACAACTCCAACAAAATGCCAGATCATTGAAATTGACAGTTTCTACAGAGCAATTAGAATTTAACATTGTCCACAGGCTTCAAATTTCTGATTTGCTTCATGCCAGTGTCTTTAAACTTGTTAAGTAGTTGTTATAGTAATCAAGATTGTGGTTTTTATGTCTTGAATCATTAAGGATTAAAAATTAGTGATTATGGACTTCTATTTGGCTGTAATATTCCTGAATATAGCCTCTTTTGTGTGTTTCACCTGGTGGGGAGTCTGCTGTATGAGCTGGGGGTTGCATGGGATCCAGTCCTGACTTGGATAATATTTCAAACACATCAATGATCAAAACTGTTCTTTTTGAGAATCTCTTGGGCAATGTTTTTTTTTTTTTTTTTAGGAAAATAGCTATTCTCATTGTATTAGTATAACCATACTGATCAGCACAAACACAATTGCAAGGACCAATGTCCTGTGTTTGATTGGTCAGTGTTCCTATAAACTGTGTTTCATGAGACAAAGTAATTAATGATGAATACTAGCATGTACACTTAAAAGTGATGAGATATAAGATTAGAAAATAAAGCTAAAATTTTTTTTTTCAATTTTTTTTTCACTTTCAATATTGTTGACAACCATTTCCTTACTAGATACAAACATTGTCCATTTACAGAGTATTGGCCTTTTTCTTGGGATCATCAACACTGAAATGAGACAGGCTATCACAGTGACCATACTTATAGAAATGATCATCATGTTGCTGGGTATGCTCTCTCTCTCTCTCTGCACTTTATACATGTATACAGTACATGTAACTGGCTTAAACTAAAAACACTAGTACATGTAACTGCAGATATATAGATTGTTAGTCTGAAAAATTGGTATGGACGATCAGAGAGCTACAGTGCAACCCACTGAAAAAAGTATATAATTATTTAATTAATTAATTATTTATTGTGCACAAAAACTATATCTCAATTTATTTCTCCATTAAATTGCAAACTAAAAATATCACTAACCTTGTGTTTTGAACATATTCTAGACTTGTATTATTTCAACAAGACATTCCCCATAACCATTGTTATAAACCCTACTGGGCCTGAAATTGAGACCAAAAAATGTTGCCTATTTATATTAATTGTCTGCCATTTTCGGTGGCAAGACAATTCAGTCCAGTGCTTTTTATGGAGATGTCAAGCATGAGAGTAGGTGATAGAGGTTTAAGGATTTTTTTTAATTCAAGCTTTTTGTGCAGTTGAGCTAGTTACAATTTGGAGAAATTAATCCAGCACTTAGTGCAGCTTTCTTGTGCGCAATAAATATACAGTTTTTTTCTATGGGTGGCACTGTAGCTCTGCAGTCTGTCAATAATTTTTTTTTGTTGGAGACCTATAGATCTGCAGCTAAAATGTTAGTAAATATAGAATTTAAGGATGATTTTCCCAATAAAAGTCTGATTTATTTTGCTTTATATTCATGTGCAGTGTATTTTTTTAATCCTCAGCTGGACTTTTCACAAGAAACTTGCCTTTCTGGTTAGATTGGATGAAGTACTTGTCATTCATATTTTATTCTTACAACTGCCTGATCTATCTGGAATTCAATAATGGTCCTCCTTTGGAGTAAGATTTAATTCATATCTCAAGTCATCTTACTTAAATATCAGATATTTTTATCATTTATTGTTTTAATTTCACACTATTTACCACTTAGATGTGTCAGTTATTGCAGAATACACATGTATAATTATGTAGCAGCATCTCTAATATTGCTTTCCTTGAGGGTTGATACTTTCACCTGTTATAATTAGGAACCATTGAATTTTACAGTATTTTGCCAGATATAATACACATTTTGTAAAATACATATTTGCATCTATCTTTACTTCCAGCTGTCTTCAGGGAGGAAATGGATCAGCGTACCCTGTCTGCTATGTTGCCAACTCTACACAGATTCCCTCCCACCAGGTTTTAGAGCACTACAAGATAACATGGGAATTCTGGCAATATCTACTGCCATTGATTGGTTTTATCATTGTCTTTCAAAGTTTGGGGTATATTTGGCTGCGGTTTGTGCAAAAAACACACTAACATGAGATTTACTGATGAAAATCAGAAATATATTAGGTGCAATAATCAATTTAAATTTTTGTACTTCGGTTGTTTTATGAATGTGGTTATGCAGAAGATGGCATGATTGAAAAAAAGCCTCAAAGGGATCATAGGATATTTGTTCTGAGAAAATTTTCCAGCTTTCTTTAGTGTAAATAAAAAAAATTTTCCAACTGTTTTTAGTAAACTTCAGTATAAATAAGAAAAAAGTCCAACTGTTTTTAGTAATAAAAAAAAATCAACTGATTTTAGTGATAATAAATTTTCCAGCTGTTATCTCAAATATATCAAATTCTATTTTTTATTGCTGTGTGTATCGGTAAACAATTATGTGTTTCCTTTAAGTCAAAATTGATTTTTTGATACATTTTTGTCATTTTGTTGATTAGTGCAAATATTGCTTTAATTAAATAATTAATGATACTTGGTGCACTTCAAGGTATTCCACATACAGTATTAATGCTATGATAGAAAGTTCAACAGTATATTTTATCAACTGGCATTTAAATTTACTCATGATGCATATCATAAGATTTTAACATATAATTTTTCTAACTGATTGTTGTTTGTAAATGCATATCATTATCTTTTCATAATGAATTATTTTATATGGTCAGACTTTATATATAATTTATAGAGATTGTTTTAAAGTACCACATTTTAATCACTTGTAATTAGCATTAAAAGTTCAGATTAAAAAAATGTATGAGATTTTTAGATGTAAAAAGATTTAATGTAAAATTTTATGTAAATATTTATTTATTTCTCACACCTTTTTTTTTTTTTTTTTTAAAAAAAAAAGACTTTATCTTCGAATCTCAGTATACACAATAGTCTGTTTTTAAATGTATAAATGTAAACAAGTACAGAAAATATAATTTCAGGAAAGTGACTTTTGCAAGGGGAGGGGGGCAGCACATCATCCTCAGAAATCCTTCTTATATAGAAATTCCTCTTATATGCAACTGCAAAGCAGCAATAGAAATTTATGATGTGCACTGTACCATATAAAGTTCAACAGCTTGTTACTGGTAAAATTTTCATGCAATATTAAAAAAAAAAAACTTCGATGAAATAATTTTTTATCCATTGATACATAAAATAAAATTTCTTTTTTTTTTCAATACCCTCTGGAAGTAAATATAAGTAATAGGTAGTTTTTGTCTTAAGATTTGAGTATTTTGTGTAAAAAAAATATGGCAAACTCATTAAAAATCCATGTAATTTTTTTCTAGCAACAAAAAAGAAAAGGTAAAAAAAATATTTTGCTTTAATATTGCCTTTAGAAAGAATTAGATTAATAAAAATTAAAAAAGAAATTGGGGGAAAAGTGCTAAAATCTGTTTTCCTCCCTTCATTAAAATTAAATAATTAGAAATCGGCAAATGTAAAAAGTTGGTATACCATGATGTACTGCAATATTTTTTTTCTGAAATACAATGTTTCATGATACATTGTGATAATTTTTCCCCTGCAATACAGTCTTAGAAATACACATTCCAACGTTCAAAAATGTCATTTCAGCTATAAAGAATTCAAAATTTTTAAATGTCTGATAGGGAAAATTATATTACTAGTGCTCACTCTTTACATTTAGGATATTTTATTAGATACTCAAGAAGCTTTGAAATTATACAGTTTTATTAAATATTTACACAAGAAATGTAAGTTAGATATGATGTTATTTTTGCATTATTTGTTTAATTGTATCTGTTTCAATAAAAAAAAGTTTAAAAAAAGATACTTAAACTCATTATTCAAGCGTAAAAGCAAATTTTTGCAAAAGCAGGGGACGATGATGATAACAATAGTAAAAAGGGGGATTTAAAGGAAAGGCGTTTTGGGTTTGAGTGGGATTAATCCGTCTTTGGACAACGGCAATGGCGGAGTCTCTGCCTCTTATCCAATCTTATTTATTAATATGAATAAAATATAAATATTGTTTAAATTGAATCAGTAATACTAGTGATATCATTGACCTGCGGTGTTCATATGAGTAAACATTTAAAGGTCAAGTTTATTATGAGTGAATTAAAAAAAAAAATGACCGTCAAATTTGAACTTTAAAAAAAAAATCAAATTACCATAAATTTTCAATTAGAACATCACATTGTATATATATTCTTAATAAGATTCCGGACGTGACAATAGAATTAACAAATGCACAAAGTTTTTTTGTTTTTTGTTTGTTTGTTTTTTTTTTAAGAATTTTTATTAGTTGTACATGTACTTCATTTGAAAAAAGAAAATATTACTACATTCTAAAAACTTTCCAAAATACAACATTATCTTTGTTTGTAAGGCTCATTATTTTAATTGTACTTTAAAGGAACTTAAACTTAATTCTGCAAGTGGTAATCCAAGTGAATTTATACCCTTAGCTCCCTTTCTAAAGAGGACATTATTCAAAATCATATGTCGGTTTTATTTATTTTTAATATTACCAACAATCAAAATGAATTTGAATTGCCATAGCTACACTGGATTCCTAAACGTCATAAAAATCCTTACAAAGATACATAGCGGGTTCCAGAAATGTTCTACTAAGCTTCTTTACTCATTACAAAAATAATAACAATTTCAGGAGTAATGTACATCAATGTAATCAAGAAGTGATGTAAATCAGATGTAGATACTTAAAAACTCCAAGGAATTTTTTAGAAAATTTGAATTCACATAATTTTACCAAAATCAACAACATCAAAACATATGACTTTTCAACGCTTTATACATCCATTCCCCACAATAAATTAAAGTCCAGGCTTTCCGACATAGACAGCTGCTTTTTCAATAAAAATGGAACTCGTAAATTTACTTAAATTGTCATTGGTCGTTTGCAAAACTATTCTGTTAAAACATTGTGATTGTACACAGAAGTACATTATTTTTCAATTTTTAAATCAAAACAATAAAAAAAAAGATTTACTGTGCACTGAAGATCTGAAAAAAAATCCTTGACCTATTTCATACTTAAATAGAATGCAGCATTAAATTGTACAGAAATATTATTCCCAGGTACTACATGTACATGTTAACAATATACATGTAATAATAGACAAAAACAGCAGTAAGTTAAAAGCAATTTATTCAAAGCATGTTTTGGCTTCATTCTTCAGTTGTTGTCAGCATTCAGTTTCTAAAAGCAAGATGGAGATACTTAATGTAATAACATAATCAGTTGTGCACACTCAAAGGAATTATTTTTTCCTAAGAATATTGCAACAGGCTTCATAACTGCTGGCTATTCCTGAAATAAGGCATGTGCACGGAGAAAGACTTGCTTTATCAGTGATATATCTAAGAAATCGAAGTTAAAGAATTCTAATACCTGATAATTCGCAAATGAAAGGCAAAGATTTGTAACAGTATTCATCATCCCATTGTCCTTGGCCTCCCCAATTAATTGCTGCACAATGTTGGATACTTTTAAAGTTATCGGGATTGCTTTTTGACCAGTTGGTGTAAATTGCTTTACCGTTGGAAAATGATCTCCAATGCCCCTCTCTTGCAATATCTGTTGCATCAATCCAAATGGAATCTAAAAAAATCTATTACATTCAAGCTGGAGTCCTCTTTAAAGAAAGAATATGACTTAAGCAATTCTTGAATTATATTGCATGGATTGACAGATATTGCATGAATTGACAAATATATGTCATATCAAAATGCTTCAAGCAGTATGAACGGAAATACAGGATTCGGTCATAATTGTTTGGAGTATTTTGAAACATAACCTCTGAAATCAGAATTTGATTATATGTTACTTAACGTCCTATTCGAGGATTTTTCACTCATATAGAGACATCACTTGCTTTAGGTGAAAAAGCCAGGCATTCCATTGTTTCAAATTTCCAAGGTTTGTCATTGCAATTGCTTAAAGCTTCGTTCATGATGCTCTATTAGATTGGTAATTCTCTAAATGGTAAAACATAAGTGAGAAATACTTCCTACCACCTTTCTTCCAAAAGTGTATGTTTTTAGTCCCCTACCGATGAAACCGAAGGGTACTAATTATAAATTAATGTTTCCTCCTCGTCTGTCTATCAGTCTTACCCTCTGTCTGTCTGTCCGTCCCACTTGGTTTTCCGCAGTATTTCTCTAACGCAGATATTGATTTTTGATATGTGAGTGTTTCTTGACGAGTAACATACCAAATTTGCATTTCGTTTCGCTTCAATGATTTTACGAAATAATGGGATTTTCAATTTTTAATGGAAATCACAGTACACTTGTAAACTAGGGGACTAGTATTGCTGTGGCAATATTTTCAGAATTCTTTTTCAAATATATCAAACATCAAAATTATCCGAAAACTTGAAAAAAAAATAACATAAACTTACTTGTCTTATAGTGAGTAGAAATCCACTTATTTTCAGTTCCGTCTCCAATTTGTACCAAGGCAGAGCCATGTTGTTTACAGAACATCTGAAAAAAAAATTATACGAGGTACAATGCATTATTTGAATAAAAAACAATACTTTCGTTCCTGTGTATTCCGAAATATTGCCTATTACAATGAAACTTAAAGTTACTTTCAGTAAATTCAATTGCTTGAAATATTGCCTAATTTGGAATGTTGTCATATCCGGCAAATGTCTATTGAACCAGGATTTTCAGAGTAGACAGGTTTTACTGCATAAATCGAAATTTAATTTCTTTTTTTTTTTAAACTTTAAGGGTTTAATGATTACCACTTTTGACCTTGAATATTAACAGAAATTAATTTTTATTCATTCTTTTATGGTAATGACATGTAAAGATTTTATCTCAGACTCGGATTGTCAAAATTATATTAATTTTGTTTTTTTCTTTCGGTTTAAGATTTGCTACAAGAACTATGAGCCATCATTTATCAACTTACTACTAAATCGTTTAAAGTCAAAAACAATATTTACGTATAAGAAAATTATCACTTAAACCATAATAACTTTGTACTTACATGGGCCTCAAACCAGTTTAGCTTCTGAGGAAAGAAAGTATAGCAGTGATTTCTGAACTTTCTCCATCCATTCTTACACGCTGTACATATACATGTACAATAACAAAGTCTTGCTCAAGTGAAAGGAAAAGTAAACAAGTTTGCAAAACTGAAGTAAACAAACACGTATTTACTTTAAAATAAAGATTGGTTGATTGATTTTATGTTGTTTTACGTCCCATTCGAGAATTTTTGCACTCGTATAAAGACGTCACCATATACCGGTGAAGGGCTTCAAATTTTGACATTTACTCGGCACTCAGGGCCATTGAGCAGTGTGGGATCT